TTTTTTTTAAGCAAATGTCTGTTTACATTTAACAACTTTTCTCTTTTCTGGTCAATTTAACTCTTAAAAAAGGTTTTTGTGGCCCAGAGGTAATGTTGAATTAAAATGACGGTTCCGATGGATACGGTTCGAATCCCCTGTCAAAGAAATCGAATATTTTCTATGAAAATTTCGACATTCAGGCCGGTAAATGTTATTTAATACTGTTTATCATAACAGAGCATTTGCTTAAACATTTGTCTCTAAATCTCTTAAATTTAAAATTCTAAATTATCGGACCTTAGCTTTCTTAATATATATATAAAGGAACAGATTCTCTTGTCTCAACGACAGAAAAAGTGTACATATTAAAAAAGAAGAGAGAAACCCTCTTTTTGGCTCTCTCTGGGTTTTTATTTATATATTTATATATATATATATATATATATATATATATATATATATATATCTATATTTTTTATTCTCTATAATTTATGGAAAAATAAAAGCATAATATATATATATTTTAAATCCGCATTCAACTCTTTATGATTTCTCTTCTTTTAATATATATATATATATATATATCTCTATATCTCTGTTGATTTCTTTTTGTCTCCTTTAGACGATCATGACTCTCTCCCTCTTTCTCTTTCTCTCTGTCTCTGTAAATTTTTCCCTAATCCTGTTCCATTCTCATAAATAGAAAGGATTTTACTTCAAACTTTTGTCTACAGGGGTGGTCTCTTGTCACCCTACATCTATAATTTTCTATTTTCAAAAATGTCTAATCCGAAATGTTGGCTTCAAACAGACCTTCCTCAATGTGTGACAGCAAAAATTTAACGTAAATAAAGCCATCTTTAAATCTTCTTTGATTTTTGTTCTACTTATTCTTCTATTGTTCGCATTACTCCTTCGTAGGGAGCCTGACAAAAAATGGCAACCCTGGTGTTATTAATTTTAGACCTTCTCGAAAATATTTATACAGCATATATACAAGGTTATATAATATATATATATATATATATATGATATATAAAAAAATTCTGATAAGTTTACGTTTAAAACGGATTTTTTAGGACTCTTGTATAGATATATATTACTTTATTTCGACAATTTCGATCCTCAATTTTTTTTTATTGAGCGAAGTTCAATTTTTACAAGGCCCGGGGCCACTCAACCGGCTGAGAAAACATTTAAGGCAAAAATTCTGTCGGATTAAAAATACAAAAAGAACATCAACCCAATTACTTGCGTTAGGACACAAAAATATCGGCAAAAGTTTGGATACGAAACTGCGCGAAAAGTTAATTTCATGATTGGAAAAATCTGTTTAAAGGGGCGATTGTCTTTAGTAGCCGCTGATCAAAGGAACTTATATATACCGATGGATATATATATATATATATATATTTGATATATATATCAACTGGCATGGACACAATTCTTGACCGTGTTTTTGAAAAATGAAAAACATTATATAAATACATACATATAACAAACTATTTCTTTTATTTTACCTTGAATACTTCATCCTTGAAAATGGAATGTATAGCCGAAAGCTCGCTATATCCCGAACATTCAGACAGTTTTTTGTATAATTTATCGTCTGAAAAGAAAAAAAACATGAGACAACATTGAAAAGTATAAAAACACATAAAAGTAATTTTGTCTGTCGTATTCATTCTGTCTATTGCTATATACACAATATATATATATATATATATATATATATATATATATATCTATCCATATATGCGCGTATTTATGTTGTTGGATAAATACATATATATATATATATATATATATATATATAAATATTTAAAAACTTCGAAAGAAAAATCATTTTTCTTCTGAAGTTACTGAACATCGATTGATAATGAAACAAATTTTAGTTACCAATGGATAGAAATTTCCCGGTTGCAATGAAAAAATATTTTTAAAAATAATATTATATGATGATCTAATTTATATCAGCACTTTTAAATAAGTAAATGCTAAAGAACTGTGGATTATTAATCTGTCTGTTCTTTCACTTTATTTATATATATATATATATATATATATATATATATATATATATATATATATATATATATATATATATATATATATATATATATATATATATATATATATATATATATATATATATATATATATATATATATATATATATATATATATATATATATATATATATATATATATATATATATATATATATATATATATATATATATATATATATACATAGTATATATATATATATATATATCCAGCATATATATATATATATGTGTGTGTGTGTGTGTGTGTGTGTGTAAAATAAAAAATATAAAAATTTTCTTTTTAAAATATATATATTCTTTCTTTATATATATATATATATATATATATATATATATATATATATATTTTTAACAAATGAAATTTAGAATTTTATTTTATAATTTATACTCTCTGTGGTATTACACCGTTGTTTGGATGACAATGAATGAATTTCATCGGCTTAAAAATATTCTCTTTTCTATTAAAGGTTAGTCTAACTTTTTCGCCTTTGAAGGAATGCAACGCACACACATGCGCGCGCGTGCACGCGCCGGAGTAAATCTATTTACGAACGAACACGCATGATTCCCCCCCCCCCCACTACTGGATACACATATTTTTTTTGTGTGTGTGTGTGTGTAAATTCGGAAATCAACTCTATCTTATTTAGAATTAAGGGATTTCATCTCCTTCTGTCGAAATATCAGCGAAAGGATTTAAGGATCAGGAAAAAAAAATATAGGAGGACATTTCGGAGGGAATTGCTGAAATGTTCGCGATCCGACGAAATAAACCTTCCTGAAAAGAAAAACATAATGACCCTACATTTTGTCAGTTAAGCATCGGTCACATATAAGTTTCGGTGCCGGCATATGCCATATATATATATATATATATATATATATATATATATATATATATATATATATATATATATTCATAATTATTCATACAAAAACAAATACAAGGTTAATGATTTAATTGGCGAGAAATCCATCGTCACGAACAATTCAAATAATATACAAAAACCCCGAACTTGTTATGATGGATTTCTCGCCAATTAAATTATTAACCTTTGTATTTGTTTTTGTATGAATAATTCATGAATTTGTAAATTAATTGCACCTTTATTGAAATATATATATATATATATATATATATATATACCTATTAAACCCGACCGATTTGGTTATCAGTCGGAGATTCTAACCCCTAGCTCATCAACGTACAGCAGAGGGAAATGGAAATTTTTGCGTTTTTATTTTTTCTTAAACGCACTATTCAGAGACCTCAACCGCTAGGAGAGTATTGCATATATATATATATATATATATATATATATATATATATATATATATATATATATATATATATATACATATATATATATATATATATATATATATATATAAATATATATATATATATATATATATATATATATATATATATATATATATATATATATATATTTTTAAGGTTGTTTTTACAATACATTTTGGATATATATATTATATATATATATATATATATATTTAAATAGTTTTAAAGGTTGTTTTTAGTGAATACATGTTTGAGAAACAAAGTTTTATTTTATTTTTGATTTAAATCTTGGGAAGTGTTTAAATGGGTGTAAATCGAGTTGCGTCTACTGGATTCAATTTCTTAATTCTACTATCTTCCCCGTCTTCCGGTACCAACTTAATAAAAATTAGGTGTATCATACACAACATAGTGACCATACTTCCTCTTAATAAAACCGGTACCCATTTCTCACTTTATTAAGTTTCTCGAATGTGCCAGCCGGGAGACGGAATTGACACAGTTTAAAAAACTAAAATTTAAAAAAACAAAAAACACCGATCACTCAAACATATGTCTCCAATAAAAATAACGCTTGAAGATATATTATATATTTGAGAGCAAATAAGTGACAAGAAGAAAAAAAAATATTCATTCGTGATTTCATTCAAAGAAGTAAATTCTTCAGATAGCTGGAATTATGGATGGAATTAATCTTGTAAATAAGAAAAGAAGGAATGGAGAATTGCCACAAACACCGATTACTGTTTACATCGAAACGTTCAAGAAAGGATGGCGTTAAGCACTCACACAAACAAATAAACACACACACACGCACACACACAAACACGCACACACGCACACACACACACATATATATATATAGATGGATATACAGAGAGAAAGGGAGAGTGAGTGAGTGAGTGAGTGAGTGAGTGATCTAGATAGATTTAAATGAGTTTTGTTAAATTCAACAAAAGTTGTCTGATTTAATAAGGCAATAAATTGAACTTAGCTTTCACAACACTTAAATGAATTCTTAGTGACTAAATTATACCACACCCTACACACACACACACACACACACACACATATATATATATGTCCACTTTTATATTTACATATGCTCTCTCTGTGATATTGAGCACATTATACCTAAAAATATAGCATATGTTAAAACTATATTTTCAACATATATATATAAATGTATGTTTGTGTGTATGAGTGCGTGTGTGTATGTGTGTGTGCGTCAGTGTACATCTGTATGAATCTACCAGAGTATAAAAATAAAATTCAAAAGTTTTCTACGGTACATTCAGACAATTATCGTCATGCTCTTAAAAATCTTTTGTACACACCTAATATATGAGTGCATGATAAATAAACATGCACACACGCCCCCTTGCATATATGCATATACATATATATATATATATATATATATATATATATATATATATATATATATATATTATTATAAATATAGCAATTAATGTCTTCAGCCAATATATATATATATATATGTATATATATATATATATATATATATATATATATATATTATATATATATATATATATATATATATATATATATATATATATATATTATATATATATGTATTCCCGTCTGTTCTTTATCATCTATCTATCTATCCCAAGGCTTACGCTCTTATCACGTCGAAACACCGGTTCTCTTATGATCACCGAAGTTAAGCAACGTCAAACCTGCTCAGTACTTAGATGGGTGTCCGCTTGGAAATATCAGATGCTATAAGCTTTAAGTTTCAGGGATAGTGGCTTATTGTTGTATGTAGATGGATAATAAAGAAAGGTCAGAGTTGAATTACGCCAGGAAACACCAGTATTAAAAAAAGTGCCCAATGCGCATATAAGAAGATTTTTGTGTGTGCGTGATAAGGAAAACTTTTCTTTACCGCCGCGTGTCGTCCTCTGATGGACTTTTGTCAAGGAAAATATAAAGGTATTATTTTGCAACAAGTATTTATAAACACTATTAAAAATGCCATTGGGTGATGAGAATTTTTTTTAACTTTAACAACGTTTATAAATGAGTCTGTAGCTTAACAGTCAAAGACCAAGAAAACTATGGAGGATGCTAAATGATGTAATTTATTTTTTTATAGACGAATTTTTACACACCCATAAAAAGCACACACACACACGTTCACACATACACACACACATATATATATATATTCATATATATATATATATATATATCTTATATATATGCATACATATATATATATGTATATATCTATATAAGTGTGTATGCATGTATATATATATATATATATATATATATATATATGTATACATGTATGTGTAGATATGTATATATATATATATATATGTAAATGTATGTATATATATAGTATTCATGTATATATATGTATATATATATGTATATATACATGTGTGCAGGTATATATATATACATATATATGTATGCACATACACACACACACACACACACACATATATATATATATATATATATATATATATATATATATATATTTTATGAAAGTTATTATCAGTGGATGTACAGGTTTGAGTAGAGATCTATGTTTTTTTCCTTTTTATCAGTTCACTGTCATCAACTGTCCTGCCTTTTCGACATTTCTTTATTAGAAAAATCGGACCCAACAACAATTACACTTTTTAAAAAATGAAGATATCTACGGAAACAGTTGAATGGCGAAATATAACATTTATTCTAATAAGAAATAATGTAATATATAAAATTAATTCTTTACACCACCACCACTACACCATATATATATATATATATATATATATATATATATATATATATATATATATATATATGTGTGTGTGTGTGATTAAAAGGTTAGAATAAAATGTCCGCAGACTGTCTTCTAAACAACGAATGTCTATTATGTTTGATCATGAGCCGTTCTAAGCTTCATATATTTGCTTTAATTTTTTTTAAAAAAAAAAAAAAACTAGACTCTCCAACATTTGGATATTTTTATTATTATTATTATTATTATTATTATTATTATTATTTTTTCCGAAATTAAAGAAACCATACGAAGCTTACATCAGCTCATGATCAAATATATTAGGCATTTCTTTTCTGTTATATTTAACAATATATGTTTGAATAATGATCTGCTGCCCAATACAATATATATATATATATATATATATATATATTTATATATAGATAGATAGATAGATAGATAGATAGATAGCGAGAGACCAGCAGAAGAAATAGGCTAACACACAGATGCATACATATACATATTTTTTACTTACCTACATAGGAAATCATTTGGCTATATGTGTAAATATATAGTGAAAGATATGTAAAACGCATAACCCCACTTCTTCTTGAGAATTTCAAGATTCCCTTCTTTGAGAGGGTATTGGATAATCGGAATCTAAATCCATGGAGCACTTCGTTTTCTTTAATTTAATTCTAAGCAATATTTTCAGAAAGAATTCTTATGAAACTGCTTCCATTTTCCAAGTGGATCAAATGCGACTCGACTGATAGCTATATTCGACAGAAGCTACACCTGTGAACTTGGCGCTATACAGCCTTCCGAAAAAGTATGCATACCTCTGACTTTGTAGATAGCATTTGGTAACTCAACTGAACTACATATATATATATATATATGTATATATACGTGGGTATACATAGCATATTTAGTTTTTTTTATTTGCTTAAGTTTTTATCTCTCTCTCTCTCTCTCTCTCTCTCTTTCACTCTATCTATCTATCTATCTATCTATCTATCTATCTATCTATCTATCGTCATCATCTATAGACAGACTGCTTCGCTGTATCACAGCTTCACAGTGTGGCTAGACATTCGATCGCTTCAGGCCCGGACCGAAACCCGACCGATGACTTCTTAAATCCATCGGATGCAAATCACTTATATATATATATATATATATATATATATATATATATATATATATATATATATATATCCTCTAGATTACGTTCAACAGACTGTCGACATTCAGTGTTGATGTCTATACTTGCACAATTATTTAATCTCAACACTGATTTTTGATCTTTTCCACTCTGTAATAATAGCATACCTTAAGACTATATTTCCTCACACACACACACACACAAACGTCGAAACACACGCACACAAATATACACAGATACATAAGCACACAGACACAAGCAGACGCTCATACATTCAAACTTGAGGAGCAAAATATATATTTATTTGTAGTAAAAATTTTAGCTCTGTTATTT